AGATGGTCGTACGTTTTCCTGCAAAATGTCTTGATAAACTCTGGAATTCATTTTCCCATCAATGACAACAATCCGTCCAGGCCCTGAGGCAGCAAAGCAGCCCCAAACCATGATGCTCCCTCCGCCATGTTTTACAGTGGGGATGAGGTTTTGATGTTGGTGTGCTGTGCCTTTTTTTCTCCACACATAGTGTAGTGTGTTCTTCCCAAACAACTCAATCTTGGTTTCATCTGTCCACAGTATATTTTGCCAGTAGTGCTGTGGAACATCCAGGTGCTCTTTTGCAAACTTCAAACGTGGTGAAATATTCTTTTTGGACAGCAATGGCTTCCTCCGTGGTGTCCTCCCATGTACTCCATTCTTGTTTAATGTTTTCCTTATTGTAGATGTGTCAACAAAAATGTTAGCATGTGCCAGAGATTTCTGTAGGTCTTTAGCTGACACTCTTGGATTCTTCTTTACCTCATGCAGCATTCTGCTGTGCTTGTCATTTTTACAGGATGACCATGCCTAGGGAGAGTAGCAACAGTGCTAAACTTTCTCGATTTGTAGACAGTCTGTCTTACCGTGGACACATGAACATCAAGGCTTTTGGATATACTTTTGTAACCCTTTCCAGCTTCATGCAAGTCAACAATTCTTGATCGTAGGTCTTCTGAGAGCTCTTTTCTGCGAGGCATGGTTCACATCAGACAGTGCTTCTTGAAACCAGTAAACCCAAAACAGGTGTGTGTTTTTTAAGGGCAGGACAGCTGTCAGCAACACATCCAATATCATCACACTGATTGGAGTCAAGGTTGGCTCACCCTGGCTCCAATTAGCTCTGGGAGAAGTCATTAAGCTAGGGCCTCACATACTTTTTCCTCCCTGCACTGTGAATGTTTACATGTTATGTGCAATTAAACTATGGCAACATCTAATGTTTGTGTAGTATTATGTTCAGCAGACTGTGTTCTTATATTGTTGTGACTTAGATGACGTTCAGAGCACATTTTATGCCCAATTCATGCAAAACTCCACGTAATCCCAAGTGGTTCACATACTTTTTCTTGCAACTGTGTGTATATATATATATATATATATATATATATATATATATATATATATATATTATATATATATATATATATATAGTTACTGGACCACTTGGTCTTTTTCTACCATCACTCTTCTATGTTTCTGTAAAAAGGTAAGTATAAGGTCAAGATCTTTACATGCCTTAAAGGCACTGCAGCATTTCACAAGATCTATTAAATGTCCCTATATCGATGCCGAGAGCATTAAGGCCCCATGTACACGGGACACTTCTGAACGATGGAAACTGACTGCTGGAAAACATAGGTTATAAAACGTCTGTTTAGCCGCGTTTGCATACCGTGTTTATGAGTGTTTGTGTTTAGAAGTATTTTTTAAAGATAACCTCAGGAGACCTTCCCAAATGCCCAGAATGCACTGAAAAAAACAGTAAAAAATTAACTATTTCAGACATTTTGAGAGAAATCGAGAGAGCAGAAGCAGAGAGAGCAGTATGTGATGAGATTGTTTTTTTTTTGTGGTGTTTGGATGTGTTCCAGCTCATTTCTGTGCAGAAATTATTGCAGCCGTGTCTAACATTTTCTTTCATGTGAAACCTCAAAGTATGGTGTACCGGGTCCATCTGAGTACTGGGGAAAATGCTTTGCATGCATTTTTCATGATGAAAAAAGGCTCTGGACAGCATCTGGAAATGGAAGAGTTATAAAAAGTTTCCAAACGCTTATAAACTTGGTTAGTCGCGTTTACAAGCGTTTGAAAAGCTGATAAAATCTACTCCTGAATGTAAGTTTGGTGCTTTGAAAAAAATGACTGTAAACTCAACTGCCTGTAAATGACTGTAAACCACATAGTTTACATGGACACATAGGAAAACATTAGGGAGCGTTCAGGGGCTGCTGAAAAAAAAACTCAGAAAAGCTCCTAAACATCAGCTGCAGGGTACATGGAGCCTAATGATGGGGGTGGCACAGTGGCTTAGTGGTTAGCACGTCTGCCTTGCAGTAAATGGGTCATGGGTTCGATTCCCGACCATGGTGCCTCCTGCATGGAGTTTGCATGTTCTCCCTGTGCTTGCGTGGGTTTCCTCCAGGTACTCCGGTTTCCTCCTACACTCCAAAGACATGCTGGTAGGTTAATTGGATCCTGTCTAAATTGGCCCTAGTATGTGTATGTATGAATGTGAGTTAGGGACCTTAGATTGTAAACCCCTTGAGGGTTAGGGACATTAGATTGTACACCCCTTGAGGGTTAGCGACATTAGATTGTACGCCCCCTGAGGGTTAGGGACATTAGATTGTATGCCCCCTGAGGGTTAGGGACCGATGTGAATGTACAATATATATGTGTAAAGCGCTGCGTAAATTGACAGCACTATGTAAGTACCTGAAATAAATAAATAAATATTAATCTTCAAAGCCAACATGCAGTATCAGCAATAGTATATTGTCTACAGAAGCCTGTATGATGAATGCCATGTATAGGGTAAATATCAAGCAGATGTATGGCTCTTCTCCTATCAGGAGCTTCACGTCTATGCCTCAAGGAATTTCAACATTTCACAAGGTATGTGTGTTAGATATATTAGAAATGCAACAAAAATGTCCTTATATCAATGCCACCAAGCATCAGAAATAATCTTCACCCCTGGTGTGCAATGTCATCAGTATTATATCATCTGGTGAATGCCCCGTAGAAGGTGGGTAATAAACAACTGTATGGCTTTTCTCAGAACTGGAATATCAACCAGAAAAACAAAATGTCCAGCACAAAGTAACTGCAAATAATCAAATATAAAAAAAAATGTCATGGATGAGTGAAAAAACAGCGGTGATGTGGCGGGGGTGAATTGTAGAGATGGTCTGTCCTCCTTGTGAAAGAACTCAAAGATACCAGCTTTTAAAGGTAACACGAGATACGCTCAAGTATATAAAGTGTGTACTTGTATAATATATGAAGAATTTTAAAGAACTGCCATGGGTGTGTTTATAAAAAATGTATAGCAGTTAGTCCATGAAAACTGCATGGGAAAAAAATGTCTTCTGTGCGAATGGAGCAAAATCGAATGTCCTCAGGCGATATTCTCTGCAGATGAAATGTGTGAATGGGGAAAATAGCGCATTATAGCTGCTAAATGGCACATCTATAGGATAGAAGTATGCTCCTTAGCATCTAGTGGCCATAAAGTGGAGCTTTTTTAGATTCGCACATTAAACCTGCAGATAATATAGCCTGAGAACATTCGAATTTGACCCACAGAACTACAGAGAAATAACATGTGGTCTCCATAAACGAATGGCTATGCAAATTTTCTTGTGATGCGCCAATTAAAATGTATTCAAATAATAACAAATCAAATAAACAAAAAATGTACAAAAGCTCCATCAGCTAATGGAAAGGAACCACACACTGAGCAGTTCAAATATATTTGGGTGTCAGAAAAGTCCAAATTTGTATTACCGCATCAAAAGAGGATCTCTGCCACCAAATAGCCACAACTCAAGGCTCACCAGAAAAGAATGACTTTCATGTTAGAGAAGTCATGTACAGCAGTGGTCTCCAACCTTTTTGGCACCAGGGACTGGTTTAGTGGCAGACAGTTTTCCAAGGACCAGGAGAGGGTATATAACCCCCTTTTACAGCACAGTTCCCCCTTTATATTAGTGTAGTGTTCCACAGTCTCCCTTTACATCAGTTCCCCTTTAGAGCTGTTCCATAGTGTCCTCAGTTCCCCTTCACATCACATCCCCCTTTAAATCACAGTGCAGTCCCCTTTAAATTAATGTACCGGGACTGCACTGTAAAAGGGGCACTATGATGTAAAGGGGACTGCGCTGCAAAGATTACAGTGCCCCTAGCAATTACAACCCCCCCCATCACAGTGTCCCTTGCAGTCATGGCTGCCCCTTTTCTCTTTAACAGTGACCCCTTTAAATATCTTCCTCCCCGACACAGTCCTATCTTTGGCAGGGCAGAGGCAGTTATCAACCTGTGTGTCCTCTCCCACCCGACGGCCAAGGTCATCCTATCAGTAGGGCAGTAGGGGGCTGGAGGAGCTGCAGATTTGGATGGAGGGTGGAAGCCACCCAACTTATGCAGCTCCCGCCCTCTGCCCTGCTGATAGGATGACATTGGCGGCCAGGTGGGAGATGTGGAAGAGGACACACATGTGGCACGGTGCGAAAGCGGTCTGTGATAGTCCTGTCTGGACCGAGGTTGCCACTCACTTGCCATGCGGCACGGTCAACAGGCCACGGAGCGGTGCCAGTCCTGGGGGTTGGGGACCCCTGATTTACAGAGCATGATTGTAATAATAAGCAATAGGTAAGGCATCCAATGTAGTCATCGATTGGCTACAAATGAAGGTATCCCAAGCATGTCCTTGATCCACTCAAATGTACTCAGAAAAAATTAGGAGACCAGAGGCTCCACATAATGTAGAATCCAAGATACTAAGTTAAAAAAAAAAAACATAAAAACACACTTACAAATAACAGCACAGTACAAATAGAATACCAGCCAGCAAAAACAAACTTCCAGGTCCAACTTCTGGTTGCGCAATGATATCAGCATGTAGCTTTTCCCTACACAAATCGTCATGACTGTGACCATGATGGTATAAATTTTCTATAAATATACTCAGATCTCCAATCTCAGCAGGTTATGAGCACATGATACTATAATGCAGCAACTGCCCCTAATGCCCAAATAGAAGCTTTATATCACAGTGAAGAGTCATAGCCTGTATAATGTAGAAAGAGCACCAACTAGTCCCAATTGCTGGACATGGAACACAACAGGGGCACAACATAGGATACCAATTCCCTTGTAGTTTCACTTCGGGGAAAGCTTGGCCAAACACAAGAAATAGCAGTGACGGGAGTTCCGAGCAAGAAGGAAATGAAAGGGGTTGGAGTGTGCCTGAGAGGACACGGCAGCCATTATGCATTTTTGTAATTTTAAAATAAATTTCCGCTCCCCCCCGGACCCTGCATTCACTATATCCGCTCCCCCCCCCCGGATTCACCCTGCATTCACTATATCCAGTCTCCATGGACCCTGCATTCACTATATCTGGTCTCCCAGGACCCTGCATTCACTATATATCTGGTCTCTCCGGACCCTGTATTCACTATATCCAGTCTTCCCGGATCCTGCATTCACTATATCCAGTCTTCCCGGACCCTGCATTCACTATATCCAGTCTCCACGGACCCTGCATTCACTATATCCAGTCTCCACGGACCCTGCATTCAGTATATCTGCTCTCCCCAGACCCTGCATTCACTATATCTGGTCTCCCCGGACCCTGCATTCACTATATCTGGTCTCCCCAGACCCTGCATTCACTATATCTGGTCTCCCCGGACCCTGCATTCACTATATCTGGTCTCCTCGGACCCTGCATTCACTATATCCGGTCTCCTCGGACCCTGCATTCACTATATCTGGTCTCCTCAGACCCTGCATTCACTATATCCGGTCTCCCCGGATCCTGCATTCACTATATCTGGTCTCCTCAGACCCTGCATTCACTATATCCGGTCTCCCTGGACCCTGCATTCACTATATCTGGTCTCCCCGGATCCTGCATTCACTATATCCAGTCTCCACGGACCCTGCATTCACTATATCTGGTCTCCCACAGTACACACAACAAGGAAATACAATTATTTTAGAAAATATAAACTGCTAAATACCTTTTCTCATCAGCAGATAGAGCAGTCTTGTGACTATCAGTGTCCAGCAGAGCACTGGTTAAAACCTGTAGGAGGAGGTTTTTTTTGCTCTAGGGGGATGCAGAACCCCTGTCCTCTGTGTGGATAGTGCTGATCACATGCACTTTCCCAAGATATTAAAAAAAAAAAAAAACCTCTCTAGCAATACAAACTAAACTGAGCATGTGCAGATTGGCTACGGGTTCAGTCTGTCTAATGAGGAGATGAGACGTGGACATTTGAAGAGGAGCAGAGAAGTCCGGATCAAATGGCCTTTTTACAGGATGCAGAGGATTAACCCCTTAGGTTCCACAGTGAGTATAACAAGCATGCTTTACTGTATATACAGACTGATTGTACTGTTGTGGGTTTAGGAACACTTTAAAGTTTACCACTTATTTATTTCAGGTACTTATATAGCTCCGTCAATTTGTGCAGCGCTTTACATATATATTGTACATTCACATCAGTCCCTAACCCTCAAGGGGTGTACAATCTAAGGTCCCTAACTTACATTCATACATACACATACTAGGGACAATTTAGACAGGAGCCAATTCACCTACCAACATGTCTTTGGAGTGTGGGAGGAAACCGGAGTACCTGGAGGAAACCCACACAGGCAGAACATGCAAACTCCAGGCAGGTGGTGTCATGGTTGGGATTCAAACCAACAACCCTAGTACTGCCAGGCGGAAGTGCCAACCATTTAGCCACTGTGCTGCCCATTCATTACACATTCCCTTTAACAGTTAAATATTACAACGAAAAGTAAAAAACATCAAGACATAAGGTTCCTTAAACCTTCCAATCGAATAATTCAAGGTCGGCCTCCCCCTGGGGACTCGTTCTAGCCGGGATTATCCGCAATGCACATAGAATACGTTGCCTTAATCTCATCACCTTACAGAACACCGGAGTTCTAATAGGAAAATAAACTAATAAATGGGATTCTTCATCACAAAGTAACTGTATATAGAATAGTCATGAGCCCATCTGACCTCTCGTGTCTTCTCTGACAATTGTGTGGATAAAAGGGAGCCATGTCACCCAGGGGGTCGTATAGAATTTGTGACACCATCACTGGATCATTCGATGGACTGACGCTACGCGTGCTGAGCTTTCATCAATAGCAGTTTATGGCAGAAATACAGAAAATCACCAAATAATTTCACATAATAATTACACTTAAAATGAGTTTTTGGCTGCGATATTAATATTCCACGGCGCGAACGTGTGTCTTGTTCCTGATCGAGCGTATCCTGATGTCTGTGTGTACTTACTATCCGCTGTGAATGTGAAATAGTTCCCGGGAGTACTGGAGGGAGGAAAGGTCGATGAGGAGATGGACGGGTCAGAGCTGACTGCTTATGGTCTATTAAAGAGGAACGTGTGGTGATCGTCTCCATTATTTATTACGATTAGGACTAGGGATGAGCAGAATGATTCTGATAAAACCGAGCATCAATTTCCCTCTCTGCTAAATTTCAGAAACATTTGAAAAAAAAAAGTTATACTCCCCCCCCCCTTCAGTTATGGTGTTTTTGTTTAATTTTTTTTTTTTTTTTTTTTAAGTACACAAAAGAAGAAAACTAAAGCAGCCAGGATGGTTAAGCTGCAATACACACTAGTGATAGCATTATCCAATGGCCAGTACTCCATACTCATACTCCTTGACCTTTCCGCTGCCTTTGACGCAGTCAACCACCCTCTCCTCCTCAGTAAACTCCACTCCATCGGCCTCCGTGACTCTGCTCTCTCCTGGTTCTCCTCTTACCTTTCTCAGCGCACTTTCAGTGTCACATACAACTCCTCCTCCTCCGCTCCTCTTTCTGTTGGGGTACCCCAAGGTTCTGTTCTTGGGCCCCTCCTTTTCTCAATCTATTTTCCTCCTCCCTGTGCCAACTGATAACCTCCCATGGCTTCCAATACAACCTCTATGCTGATGACACCCAGATCTATCTCTCCACTCCCCAGCTCACCCCCTCAACCTCCTCATCACAAATCTACTAAGCGACATATCAGCATGGATGTCACATCACTACCTTAAACTCAATCTTTCCAAAACTGAGCTTGTAATATTCCCCCCCCCCCATCCCCCACTCACGACTTCACCATTAAGATCAACAGCACAACCATTGGTCCCTCCCCTCATGCCAGGGTGCTAGGCGTAATCCTAGCCTCTGACCTCTCCCTTGGGCCCCACATCCCACTCACTGGCTAAATCCTGCCGCCTCAACCTCCGGAACATTTCCAAAATCCACCCCTCCCTGACCAATGATACCACAAAACAACGTATCCACGCCTTTGTTATATCCCGCCTCGATTACTGCAACTCCCTCCTCACTGGTCTGCCAGTGAGGCTATCCCCCCTTCAGTGTAATATGAATGCTGCTGCTAGACTCATACACCTTACCAACCGATCAGCGACTGCTGCCCCTCTCTGCCAATCCCTCCACTGGCTTCCTCTAACCCAACGTATAAAATTCAAAATACTAACCACAGCTTACAAAGCCATCCACAACACTGTCCCTAACTACATCACCAACCTCATCGACAGATACCCACTCCGCTCCTCCCATGATATCCTCCTCTCTAGCTCCCTCATCACCTCCTTCCATGCTCGCCTAAAGGACTTCTCCAGAGCCTCTCCCCTCCTCTGGAACTCCCTACCACAGTATGTCCAGCCAGCCCCCACCCTGTCTGCCTTTAGGCGATCTTTAAAAAACTCACCTCTTCAGGGAAGCCTACCCCACCTCCACCTAAGAAGTGTACTTGAATCACCTCCACCAGATCATCCCCCGCAGCTATCACCTTTTGTATCACCTCCCCCTTCCTCTAGATTGTAAGCTCCACGAGCAGGGCCCTCCTATTCCTTCTGTACTGAAAGTATAGTTGCCCACTGGGGTTTCTCCCACACAATATGATCAAATAATACCAAGCCACCTGGCTCACTTGTTGGCAGCACGTTCTCTCATCAGTCCCTTTGACTGTTGTCCAGCTCTCCTGCAACACTGGCTCTCTAACCTTTAACCACTTGCCTATAGGGCACTTTCACCCCCTTACTGCCCAGGCCAATTTCCAGCCTTCAGCGCTGTTGCACTTTGAATGACAATTGCGCGGTCATGCAACACTGCACCCATATGAAATTTTTATCATTTTTTTGAGACAGGTAGAGCTTTATTTTGGTGGTATTTAATCACGTCTGGATTTTTTATTTTTTGCTAAACAAACCAAAAACGACTGAAAATTTTGTAAAAAAAAAAAAAATTTTCTTAGTTATAAAATTTTGTAAATAAGTAATTTTTCTCCTTCCCTGATGTGCGCCAATGAGGCTGCACTGATGGGCACTGATAGGCAGCACTGATGAGTAGGCACTGGTAGGTTGCACTGGTGGGCATGGACAGGAATCACTGATGGGCACTGAAAGGTAGAACTGATATGGTACTGATAGACAGCACTGAAAGGCAGCACTGACTGGCACTGTTAGGCAGCACTGATAAACGGCACTGACAGGTAGCTCAGATGGGCACTGATATGTGGCATTGTTGGACACTGACAGGTGGCATTGATAAGGCTACACTGATCATCAGGGCACTGATCATCAGTGCCTTGATGATCAGTGTAGATGTCCCCTCTAAGGAAAGCAGATTACCGTCTTTCCTCTCCTCTGTCAGCGTGACAGCTCATGAGGAGAAGGAATGCCGATAACCAACATTACGTTCTTTACATGCGATCAGCTGTGATTGGACACAGCTGATCACATGAGAGCGCCGGCATCATTGGTTCTTTCCGCTGATCAGTGATCCGCTGTGTCCCAGAGACAGTGCATGACCGATCGGAACTCACGTGCAGTTAGAATGGAAGGACGTCATATGATGTCCTCCCAGAAGAAGAGAACCATCACCCATCCATCATTTCCTTCTTTGGTGGGTGGGAGGTGGTTAAATTGCAACGCCCTACTGCAGGACCGGCCTACAGATAGGGGTTCACCCCGACAGCTGTCTGAGCTTTCCTTAGACCTGTGTATAGAATGACACCGCACATCTCTGTACTCAGGTTGCAGGCATCTGGAAAAACCAGCACACAGAACTGAAAGTTCGGTCCAGAATCATAGAATCCCGAAAAAAGTCAAAAGCATAGCTTTCTCTGCTCAAAAACAGCAATCTTGAACTTTGCATTAACTGTAAATGTGAATCGTGTCAGATTTTCCCATATTCTCCCAATGACAGAGCCTCAAGAGTTACAACAACCACTGACAGGTAAAATGAAGAACATGGATTATCTCATTCCAATGGCACATGAAAGTGATTAGGCAACAAGTGAACATGTTGTCCCTGAAGTTAATGTACTGCAAGCAGCAGAAAAAAAATGGACAAGAGTAAGGATTTGAGCGCCTTTGAAAAAGGCTGATCCAATACAATTTGGCCTTTGTCAACCATTGTGCCAAGGCAAACCAAGGTGCCTTGAGGTGTCCTCAGGGGTGCCTTCGCATAATGCTTAAAAATTGGCAAAAACTTGCATACAAGCCAGCAAGTGGATTATGCATGCCTTTTAGTTACAAAAAGCCACGTGTTCACTGTAAACCAATACA